TTCCGGTAACATATATATGAATGTATTACTTTTGAGCAAAAATGTGTGCTATTATGTAAAATATAATTATTTACAAATCACGTTTTTTTCATTTTATAAATAATTACGTATTTTAGATTTTGAGTCAATGAATGTACTGATTTTACAATGCCATTTGTGTTTTTCTCTGCCAACTGCCTGTCAACTTATTTTACTGTAAAAAATTTGTATCTAGTTAATACTTTGGAAAGTCAAGTATAAAAAATCATGTTGTTGGTGTAACTTGAAGTTTTTACCGATTGTTTAAATTACTATTATCTTTACATAGCAACATTTTTTAAATATTAAGACATTTTTTGAGCTATTTATAGAAATMAAAAATGAAATACTTCAATACTTGTAATAACTATAATAAGCTGACAAATTTTCTTCGCTAAGAATCATTTTTCGTATACAATGGTTTATCATTGAGTTCAAATTTAACACATAAAATGACTTACTTTTTACTTGGTAYACTTGATATACATGGTAAACTTGGTGCTTACTATACAGCAGAAAGGAACTTACTATTCTGTTTTTATAAAGTAACTGGAATTAAATAAAGTAGTAATAGGTAAATAGAGTTTTAAAAATGTTATACTTTTATATTTAAAGTTCAATAAAAATAAAAATAATTTACTTCACTTTTAGAAAACCATTTTAATTTTTAATTTTAGTTATTATTTAATTTGGAAAAAACGTTGCATATTTTACTTTACTAGATATGCGAAAGCTTCACTAGTGAGCACACTCATCCCGAGTTTAGACTTTGGTTGACGTCATATCCCGTCGAGTATTTTCCTGTATCTGTTTTACAAAATAGTATAAAAATTACAAATGAACCACCAAAAGGGCTTCGAGCCAACCTTTACAGGTATTTGTATTTTACTATATTAATCTGAGAAACTCCATAATTAACCATCTTCTTTTTTGGAGTAGATCGTTTACAAGTGACCCGATTGTGAACGAAGAATTCTTCGAGGGCTGTAAACAAGGCAATAACTTCAAGAAGATGCTTTTCGGTCTGTGCTTCTTCCATGCTCTAATACAAGAGCGGCGTCATTTCGGTCCAATCGGATGGAATCGGCCATACGAATTCAACGAGACTGACCTTAGAATTAGCGTCGTTCAGTTACAAAACTTCCTTAACGAATATTCAAAGATTCAATTTGAAGCTTTGCGTTATTTGACTGGTGAATGCAACTACGGTGGCCGAGTAACCGACGACTGGGACCGGAGATGTTTAGTTACGTTTCTAAACAAGTTCTATACGCCAGAGATTGTCAAATACAAAAATTATAAATTTGATAAATCYGGTAAAACTAAAAAAAAATAGTTATACTTCACGAGTCTCAGCGCTTAACTCACTCATTATTATACGCAATAAGGTACTTACTATTGCCCAAATTTGAAAAAATACGATCATTTTGTGGATTACATTCAAGAACTACCTTCAATCACTCGACCTAGTATATTTGGTATGAATGAAAACGCAGATCTCATTAAGGAACAACAAGAAACTGATATGTTTCTTACTTCTGTTATCAGTACACAGGTATTTAAATTGCACAACAACAGTGTCCATAGTGTAATTCGTGATAATTAAATATTGATCATACCAACAAAAAAAAATTATCAAAAAAATATTTTTGTAATAAAAAATTGTTAATAAATTAATATTAAAACCTTCAATTTTAAATAGCACCCACAGATAGGTTATACATTTTTATTTTATTTTTATATTTGTGTTATTGTAGATAACCGCCTTGGTAGATAATACAATATAATTTATAATTTATAACATATATTTAGAGTACCTAGTAAGTATAAATAAATATAACAAGCTTTATCTCAGTCAAAACGATTTTATTTCATGATTTGACACGCTAATAAGTTATAAGCTATTTAGTTATAACATTTTATTAATAAATATTTGTGTAAAAAAGACCTTTTACCT